AAATTTGCAAGATATTCTTGCAGTCAATCATCTCATTATATATCATTATTCACTTGTTAAAAATTGAGTAACTAATCTCTTTAGTTTACCTCATATCCATGACTGGCTCCTGCTTGCAAATCAGTTTCCACTGTGGCATGCATGACACCATAGAGATGATGATCATAATCAAGTCGCAGGCACAGAAAAAAGATTGAGGGATGGAAGGAGGGAGAAGGAGAGAGAGTGACTTACTGCTGCCAGCATCAATATAAGCTATTGAGACAAGGAAACCAGGGCCTACAAATGACAAAAACTTTCTCCATCCAGGTTTCTGAACATCAAAGAGATCGAGGAGAATTAAACCAAATGAGTGGAAAACAAGAAGTGCAAATATATATACGTACTCAGGCTAGCTATGAATCAATGAAAGCATCAAATTTTAAAAAAGAAACCAGACCTCATGGTCTGGGTCATGATCATGATCACTGCTTTGGTTGTCGTTACTAGGGAAGGATTCCGGCGTGCTTCCCTCCACATTGACAGCAGCTATACGGTTGCTCCCTCCACCCCATGATATTGAAAGTGCAAGATCAGTCGCTTGCTGCTGTAAACTTCCCATCCCTCCCTTTCTTCACAACGTTGAACAACAACTACATTCACACACATGTTTAAGAAACTGCAGCTGTATTTATAGTGCAACATGTCACATTTGTCCGAAAACGACAGCATAACAGTCCAGGTTTTTTAATTTCCGTTCTTCTCTTCCATACGGCACTGACACGGTGCTGCTGCGTGACGAGTCGCTATCTTTTCCTTTATCAACAATAATTTTTCACATGGCAAATAGATACTTGTATTTTTAATTTTCTTTGATACTTGTATTTTTTTAACCTCAATTAATTTTTTAAACTGTATGAGTGTTGTCACACCTTCATTTAATTATATTAATTTTTAAATTTTTTTAAACGTAATTTGATGTGAATAACTTTGTAATTTTTATTTCTTATGAAATTTAATAACTTTACTACTAATGTATAAAGTAATTAACTTTAAAGTTAATCTTTGGTAC